AAGCACAATTCGGGTGAAAGTGAAGTGGGAATAAAGTTGAACAACCAGGGACTTCTGGTGATGTCAGTCTGTCAGATACAGGGGTGGGTTTCCTGCCACCGCCTTTCTTATGTAATCTAGATTGCTGGGCAAAACCCTGATTTTTGTGTGCGGGATTTTCCTGGTCACAGAACAGATTCTATATAATACACACTCTACACCCTCATTCTCAATACCCCTGTATTGCTACTATTCTACAATTAAGAATCTCATTTGCTACCCCCCGATTACGGTAACCCGGCAGAATACAGCAGTAACAGCGATATTCGATTAACAACAACAATCACAACAATATCCTCGATTACCGATCTCAAGAAAGCGGGCGACGCCGTCCTCAGGAACTGCTTCCCTATCCGCTTGGTATAATACGGTGAAATCTAACGTTCAATTCGACGAGGAATAAGCCTACAACGATATCCGCGCTAATTACCGCGATAAGATCAATATTACGACCTATCCCCGCAATTAAACTAATTAATTATAAGAGTAGGAATATATTATAGCCATCGGTAAATACTTTAAGGTCGACGAGTATATTAACCCCAAAGTATAGAAGACCGACTTTTTTAACGTAGTGAACAAATTTAGCAATTCCCCTTTTAAGAACTAGGCCACGTCCTTTAAAATTACGGACAAAAAGCTCCTAAATAATAATCTCACCTACTTTAACCTAGCCTACAATTTTAGGGAACGGGTCTATAATTACTACTTTAAAAAATCGCGTAATTAGGTTTTAAAAGGCAATACGTTTCTTACCCCTATATTTAATAATCGAACTATAGGGGACGCTTTTAATAATATTAATAGGAAGCGCGGCTAAAATATTAATAATTAAAATAATAAACGCTAAAAGCGAATTTATAAAACCTACAAAAGATTTAATTACTCTTATAATAAATACTAGTATATAATCCCCTCCCTAACGCTTAATTCTAATTAAATTCCTAATTAACGTATTTAAAGTATAGTTAATAAAAATTATTAAAGGAATACCTAATTTACGTAAAAGTTCCGTAAATTAAATATTAGAATCGTATTAACGTAATAAACTCTTATTAAAAAGCTAATAAAATTTGCAATTAATACCTTTAATAGCGGATTCTAATTTAAAGGTCGGAGGATTAATAAAATTGGCCATTAATTTAATTTCTTAATATTAAAATTTCGATAGGAAGTTCCCGTATATTTATTAAGAGATTTAGTTATTTTTAATTTAAGTACGATAATTTATATTTTTAACGAAATTAGCCGTTTTAAAAACTTTACCCTTATAAATAAAGGAAATTACGTTTAAATTAATAACGGTTTATTAATAATTAAAGGATACGGGACCGTTTATATCCTAATTAGCGATAATAAGGGTAATCTCTTTAAACTTCGTTTAAACGATGTAGCGTTAATTCTAAATATAATTTACAATTTCGTATTTTTTCGAAAGCTTATAGAATTCGATTATTTTTAGGATATTATTAACTCTTATATTCGCGCCCCCGATCTTTCCTATTATTATTTTATTTCCAATCATTTTTAATAATTTATTCTTAAATATATCCTTCTTAATTTTAAAAATAACGTTAATTAATCCTCTTTCAACGTTCGAACTCCTTGGAGTAAAATTGCTAAAAAACCCTAAAAAGGAGATACTTTATATTAATACCTTAAATTTAGCTACCTTAAACCCGAAACCCTTATTTAATTAATTAATAAAGAATATAGCGTACGCTTTAAGGGTTTAAATTTAGTATATTACAATACGTATACGGTAATTAAATTAAAACGCTAAATTGGGAAGGCTACCTATATTACGTTTAAAGGATTAGGATAAAGGGTAATTATCGATTTTTTCGAATATACTCTAATAAAGGTAGGGTTTAATTAAATTTTTATATTAATAATAATAGTTAATTATTAGTTTAATTACCTTTAAATATATTATTTTATTAAGAAAATTACCGACTCTATTATCGTAGCCCTATCTTTCCTTATTATTAGCTTAAAAATTTAATATTAAATTTAAATATAAGTAATTAAATATAATAATAAAATTATAATAATTAAATTTAGGGTCGTTATTTTTCTATTATAATAGGGTATTAGGGTCGAGCCTTTTACGCCGTATACTTAAATATAGAACGGCGGCGTTAAATACTCGGAGGGTATATTTAGCGAAAAAATTAGAATTATAAGAGAATTTATAAATTTTCTAAAAGAATTTTAAAAAGAAATTATAGCGGTTATAACCTACCTTCTTAATAAAATTCTTAAGTACAATTTTAATTAGAAAACCCTAGAAGAACATTTTAAAGCCTATATAATAGACCGCAACGGCGGTTAGTAAAAGGTAGTCCTTACTTTAGTATATTTGAAAGTTTATAGCTATAAAGCTTTTACGTTTATAATAGAAATCCTATACGGCTATAATAAAACTAGGAAGTTCAAAAAATATACTTGGGTTAATTACTTAATCGGTTACTAATCGTTAAATATTTACCGAATTTAAAATCTTTATATTAATTCGATTATAATAATTAAAGACGTAGTCTTTAATGAAGACGAGGTTTTTATAAATAATATTAAGAAATTCTAAAATTCGTTTAAAATTTCCTTAGAAAAGTTAACTATATAATTAAATAATTTTTATTAATTAGAAGATAATTTTATTATACCCTTCCTAATTCTAAAAAATTATATTAACGACGAATTAAATAATTTCGGTTTAGTTGTCGAATTTATACCCGCGGAGTTAGAGACCCCTACGATCCCTACCGAGCCCGCCGGGTATATATATAAGTAAGAGGAGGAAATATTATATCCCTAAATATTAAAACGACCGGATAATTAATAGGATATAATAATAAATAAAATAAATGAATTAATTAATTATAGTTTACCGATTCCCTTTAATAATTTAACTTCGTTTCTTATTAAGAATTTAAACTACGTCCCTTTAGTATAACCTTTTACCCATTTCCCCCGAGCGGATTAATATTTATATTAAATAATATCCTTCCTAAATGCGCCTAATTTCTATTAAATTAGTATATATAATAATTATATTATCGATTATATTAGTTTAAATTAATTAAGGAAATTCGGGTTAGAAATCGATAACGACGATTTCTATATAAATTCGAAATTTACTATCGATAACGTTAAAAGGTATAATATATTAAATATATTAAATACTTTATATTGCCGAAAATTCCCCCCTCTACCTAAGAGCTACTAAAACCTTTATTTCTATCCTTTTTAAAAAATATTTCGTTAAATTAAAAGGGAGTATTTTTAAGATTACGATATAAAGGGATTGTAGAAGTAAGTAAATTAGGAAAAATATTAAAGAATTATCCCTTTCGATTCTATATAGGTATATATTTATAAATTTAACGTAGCGGGTTACTACCTTAAAAGTAAAGTACGCTTTATTATAAGAAAAGACTAATAACCTTAAAATCTATAGGATATTTACGTAATTACTTTGGTAATTCGTACTTTCCGTATTATAATAGCTATTATAAATTATTTTAATTTCGAACTTAAATAATATAATACTATTAATACCTTCGTTAATACCCTTTTCAATAAATTTATTTATATACGAATATTATTAGGATATACCCAATAAAATAAAGTTATTAAATTATTACGCGCCCTTTATAATCTTCGGCGCTCCCTTTTATTATAATAATACGAATTTATTAAAATTCTTATTACCGTTAATTTAATCCCTATCCTTATAGAATTTTATATATTTATTTACCGAAATATAATAATCTTTTTCTACATCGATAATATTATTTTTACTTACCGAAACGAAAATAAATACAACGCTATTAGAATTATTAACGTTTTAGAAAGTTACTATTAATTAATAAGCAGTAATAATATTTAATAGTTTTTAAATATCAAAGTTATTCGAAATTAAATAAAGCGGTTAATTTAATTATTTTAACGCGAATATATTAAAAAAATTATAGAGAAATTTTAGTAATCCCAATCGTTTCCCTAAACTCCTATAAATATTAAGAAGCTCCTCCCCTCTAAGGGCACCGCTAACTTTAAATCCGTTAAAATATATTAAAAGGTAATCGGCAAAATTATATACGCGCTGGTTATTATTAAACCCGACGGCGCTTTTACTAATTTTAAATTATTTCGTTTTTTTATTAATTTTAACGGTATTTATTACGCTACCGCTAACCGATTACTCGCTTATTTTAAGGGTACCGAAAATTATATATTCTAATTGGGGGGTAGTAATTTATTCTTAGTTTTAATTAATACTTCTTATATTGATAATATTTTAAATCGATAAAATTTATAAGGATTCGTTATATAATTATTAAATAAAACCGTTAATTAGTAAATTAATAAATAGGATACCGTTATTATTTCTATTACCGAAGTTAAACTATTATCCCTATTATAAGGGGTTCGTAAAGGTTTGTAAGTAAAACGCTTATTCGATTCGCTAATTTTTAATTTAGGAATTAATAATAAGAGTATTCTATTAGGATATAATAACGCCTAAACGATCCGTTTAATTATTAAAGAAAACGCTAAATTTTAAATTAAATTTAAGTATATCGATATTTATAATTATTAACTCCGAGAAGGATAGTAATATAATATATTTAACGTATATTATATACCTATAACCGAAATAATCGCCGATAGGTTAACGAAAGTATTAATTATAGAGAAATATAAGGAGTTTATTCGCTAAATAAGTCTTATAAACATTTCGAATTTAAGGAAGGAGAAGGAGAGGGTATTGAAATTAATTAACGCGAGTATATTAATAGTCCAATTCTAGCGGGGATAGAATATTTTAAAGAAGTAAAAAGGAAGGATAGTATTATTATAAATAATTATCGATTTATACTACTCTATTAAAATAACCCTTATAAAATGAAGGGATCTTATATAATATTTGTAAGAAGGAAAAAAGGTAAAAAGTTTAGCGCCGATGGGATTCGAACCTACGACTTTTAAAGATAGCTATTAAAGATAATCCGGGGAGTATACTATTAAATATAATTTAAAGATACCGTACGGTTATTTAATATAGGACCTTAACGCTCTAACCACTAAACTACGGCGCCCGGTTAATTGTTGAAAATTAATACTACGGACCTTTTAAATATAGTACGATTAATAAGCGATATTTTTAAAGGCGACTATTTAGGGATTTATTAATTTTAAGGGTATAGAATTTGGGAATAGCTTTATTTGGGCGCCTTTAACCAGTTTTTTAGTATATATTAATATAGTTGGGGGGGTATATTAAATATAGGGGTAGGTTTCCTACCACCGCCTTTCTTATATAATCTAGATTGTTGGGCAAAACCCTGATTTTTGTATACGGGATTTTCCTAGTCATAGAACAGATTCTATATAATATACACTCTGCACCCTCATTCTCAATACCCCTATATTACTGCTATTCTATACAGTCCCATTTCATAGCGCACAGCCTAGACCGGGCCGTGGAGCGACAGTGACAGATGGGTGGGACTTTGGCGGGGTGCGTGGGGTGTCGTGTGTGACTGTGACTTCCACGGTCGTGATTGGCCGCAGAGCTTTCTTATCAGCTTATCGGCAGCTGAGTCATCCAAAATTCTGGAGCTGATCGACTGGGGAGGAGTCAGTGAAGTCCCCCACTCGGCCGCTGAAGCTGGTGGTTTGCAGGGCCTGAAAAAAAATTGAAACCCTCTCTTTTCCCGTCTTCGTTGAGATCCGGCATCCAAAATTCGAAGTCGCGCATTCGCATCTTTGGTTGTCGATAACCACTCCACACATACCAACAAAATGGCTGCCGCTACCCTCGGAGAGGTGCCTACCAAGGCCTTCGATACCATCCTGACTTTGGATTTCGGGTGCGTCTGTTCCTGCTTGCTTGCTTGCTTGCTTGCTTGATGTCGATGTCCTCGTCCTGCATTTTGCCTGCTTGTTGTGGTTGTTACCACAATATGCAGCTTTGTGTGGATTTTATATGTGCATGTTGAATATGTGCTAACAAGTCGCTTGTATCTCTCATAACAGATCGCAGTACACTCACTTGTAGGTTCCTCCTTTTCACTCTCACTCGTACGAAATATGAGTTGCAGCACATTATTGCCTACGGGCTCCGTAATTACAACAAAACCGGCTATTCATGGCTGCCTCTTTTGTTTACTTGACCCCTGGATTGTCTAACCATCTCGACGCCCCCCCTGCCACCCCAATGTAAACAATGAGAGACACAACTAACCCATGACTACCAAAGGATCACCCGTCGTCTGAGAGAGCTCAACATCCTCTCGGAGATGCTGCCATGCACCACCAAGATTGCTGATCTCGATTACAAGCCCAAGGGTGTTATCCTCTCCGGCGGCCCTTACTCTGTCTATGAGGAGGGTGCTCCCCACGTCGACCCTGCCGTGTTCGAGCTTGGTATGGATCAACTCTGACAGAAAAGACTGCTTGTATCCTTGCTGACTCTCCCTGCCTAGGCGTCCCCATTCTTGGCATCTGCTGTATGTGATATCTCATGGTGAACTCATGTCACCACTACTCACCATAACCTCTCACCCCCGGTCCTCATCATTGACACTTCTACAGATGGCATGCAGGAGATCGCCTGGCGCGCCAGCCCCGAGAACGTCATCGCCGGCGTTCACCGCGAGTACGGCCACTCCAACCTGAAGGCCCTCAAGGGTGACGATGCCCACGTCGACCGCCTCTTCGCCGGCCTCGAGGACTCCATGCGCGTGTGGATGTCCCACGGCGACAAGCTCGGCGCTCTCCCCGAGGGCTTCCACACCGTTGCCGTCTCCGACAACTCCGAGTACGCCGCCATCGCCCACAAGACCAAGCCCATCTACGGTCTCCAGTTCCACCCCGAGGTCACCCACTCCCAGAACGGCACCCAGCTCCTCAAGAACTTCGCCGTCGGCATCTGCGGCTGTGCCCAGAACTGGACCATGGCCCGCTTCCTCGACCAGGAGATCGCCCGCATCCGCGACCTCGTCGGCCCTGAGGGCCAGGTCCTCGGCGCCGTCTCCGGTGGCGTCGACTCCACCGTCGCCGCCAAGCTCATGAAGGAGGCCATTGGCGACCGCTTCTGGGCCGTCCTCGTCAACAACGGCGTCATGCGCCTGGACGAGTGCGAGCAGGTCGAGCGCGACCTCAAGCAGCACCTGGGCATCAACCTGACCGTCGTCGACGCCTCCAAGGACTTCCTCGAGGGTCTGAAGGGTCTGCACGACCCCGAGCAGAAGCGCAAGTTCATCGGCGGCAAGTTCATCGACGTGTTCGAGGCCGAGGCCGAGAAGATCGAGAAGGCCGCCGAGCAGTCCGGCAAGGGCACCAAGATCGGCTTCTTCCTCCAGGGCACTTTGTACCCCGATGTCATTGAGTCCCTCTCCTTCAAGGGTCCCTCCGCCACCATCAAGACGCACCACAACGTCGGCGGTCTGCCCGAGCGCATGACCAACGGCCAGGGTCTCCAGCTCATCGAGCCCCTCCGCTCCCTTTACAAGGACGAGGTCCGCGAGCTCGGACGCACCCTCGGCATCCACGAGGAGCTCGTGATGCGCCACCCCTTCCCCGGCCCCGGCATCGCCGTGCGCATTCTCGGCGAGGTCACCGAGGAGAAGGTGCGCATCGCCCGCCAGGCCGATCACATCTTCATCTCCGAGATCCGCAAGGCTGGTCTCTACGATCAGATCTCGCAGGCCTACGCCGCTGTTGATCCCAGCCGCGCTGTCGGTGTTATGGGTGATAAGCGCGTTTATGGCTACATCATTATCCTTCGCGCGGTTACTACTACCGATTTCATGACCGCTGAGGCGTTCAACTTCCCTTGGGAGTTCCTCCAGCGCGTGATGAACAGGATCGTCAACGAGGTGAATGGTGTTTGCAGAGTCACTTATGACATTACTAGCAAGCCTCCTGGTACTATTGAGCTTGAGTAAGCGTGTGCTGCTTGGGTTTGGGTTTAGTATGGGTTGGAAAAAGCTAGAATGTCTGGGGACAAATGAAGATACCACAAAAAGATGAGAAGAATAGATTTCACGTGTTTCAATGCTTTGCGTTGTGCCAGTTCCTGAAGGTGCAGGAGGATATGAGAGTGATGTTGAAGTAAGTTGATTTACATCGTTTAGGTAACTGTTAGCTACGGGCTTTCTATAGAAGTACATGTGAGCCAGCTCACCTCCTTCTCCCCTACTCCCACCGTTGTCACGACTACCAAGCTTTCCCCAAAAAGTCCCCTGAACCAGGGTAACTGTTCTACAAAAGATCAACAAAGTAAGTCAAAATCATAGGTATAAAAACAAAAGCCAAAAAAACCAAACGCCTCTCTAGTGACTACCTCTAGCCAAGCCCAATCTTATCTGAACACCCTCTACCATAACATTAGGTCTCTTCCATCAACAATCCGAAATTTAACGACCTTCGCCTCCATCACTCCAACTCCTCAATCCTCAAAGACTTCACCTTCCCCCCCTCACCCTCGGGATCATTCCAATCACTCCCTCCCCACAAACTCTCGTCGTTATACAACTTCTCATCAACCTCGGGTACATCACTCAATCCCATCCCATCAAAATCCGCCAACCCGATGCTGCCCCGGCTGGCTCTCCTCCTACCTGCACTCCTACTTCTTTCTCTACTGTGTCGTCCAACCTGTTTCCTAGGTGACGGTGGTGTCACACCGGGGTCGTATGCTGGAAACGGTTCTGTTGGCGGTGAGCCCGAGGGAAGGTTGCCGAAGCCCCAAGATGGTTTGTCACCGCCTAGGGCGAGAGTCATGGGGTTGATGTTGACGTTGGCGGGGGAGATTTTATCGGCGTTGGAGGTGATTTTGTCTGCTAGTTTTTTGGAGGTTAAGGATGGGGAGGCGCCCATTTTGGAGGCAGCGGAGTTGGAGCGGGTGCGGCCGATGCGGGTGGGTGAGGAATGAGGGTTATTGGCGCTATTGGCGCGAGAGCGGGAGCGGGTGCGGCTGGCGACGGAGCCTGAGCCAGGGCTTGGGGTGGTGATGCCGGTGGAGGTGGTGGAGGTGGTTGAAATGGAAGAGCTGGGAGGAGAGGAGGAGTCGGTGACATAAGGGCGGCGAGGAGGGGGACGGCGGTTTTTCAAGGTTGGGGTTCGGGGTTTAGCATCGCCGGCGGTAGTGCTACCCAGGCTTGCCAAGGTTCTGCCTCCTCCAAGAGTGTTACCTGCGGTGATGGGAACAGAGTCTAGAGTGCGGCCGGAAGATCCTGTTCCTCCAAGTGTATTTCCGGATTTGTTAAACGCGGAAGAACCACTCGTCGGGTTGGAGCTGGAACCAAGGGTCCTACCGGTGGTGCCTCCAGGTAGTTTGAGGCCCTTTATGTCAAAGGCTACAGACGCGGAAGTCTTAGCAGATGCAGCTGGGCCAAAGGGATCACCTCCCGCAAAAGAAGCAGCCGCCTCATTCTTAGTAGGTGTCCGGGGCCAAAGCTTCGAGACAGGAGGTTCAGAGCTTTGGCGGTCCTTGGTACTAGTGACTGAACCAGATCGAGTTCTTTCTCGTTCCTTGTCTCCGTCTTTAGCCAATATAGCGTCGAGTTTGGCTTTATCCCGGGCCTCCTTTTCTTTCCTGGCCTGCCGGATCTCCTCCAGCTGTCTCGCCGCTTTCTCAACAGCACTTTCCCCTTCCTTGGGCTTGGGCTTGGCCTTCTCCTTTTCCTTCCTCAATTCCTTCTCCATCTCCCTCAGCTTCTCCATCTCCCTCAGCTTCTCCCTTTCGCGTTTTAGGTGCTCCAAATCTTTCTTCTCCTGCTCCTTCTCGCGCAACTTATCCCTCGGCGTCTTCGCGTTCAGCAGCTTTTTCAACTCCTCCAGCACCTTCTTCGCCTCATTCACACTCTTCGAAGTCCCACCCACCTTCCTCGGGCTTATGAACAAGGCATCATAGTCCTTCTTGTCCGTAATATTTTTCGCCTTCTCCTTGGCCCGCTCAATCTCCTTCTCCAGCCTCTTGATCTCTTCAGCGATGGCGTCCAGCTCGGAGTCCTCATCAGCGAGCATGTTGATTTCCGGTCCCAGGTTCATCTGGATCACGCCCTCTATCGGCGGGCCGTGCCCACCGAAC